CCTGGGGGGCCTCCCCCCACCCGGAGGAGTGCTGCGGAAGGAGTGACGCGTTGGGGCGTAGGAGGGGAAGGGATCGGCCGTCCCCAGGCGCGCCTAAGGCACACAGAATTGGTGTCCAAAGCCGCCTTAGCCACCTTCGCTGCGGGCTGGCCACCTTTTGGCTGGCGGTGTCAGTGTTTTTGTACTGGTCCAGGGGCCTCCCTGGTTTCTCCCCAGCTGCACGATCCTGAGGACCCACAACAAACCCACGTGCGCTTTGCCATCAGGAACCCTGCTTTCTCCACAGCACCGTCAGTAAGGAAGGGTGGCACGCCTAGCAGCGCCCAGGTTCCTTCAGATCCCGCATGCTGGGTTCACAGACAAGGAAACCGAGCACCCTGCCCCCGCGGCGGGGGGTGGGGACACAGGCACCATAACAAACGCACGTGCGCCCAGCCCTGGGCTCCCCGAGCACTGCAAACCCTTAGGAGCCGCCCTGCGGAACCGGCCATTGTCTCAGCTTCGGGGTAGGGAGCAGCGCGGGGGGCGCCACTTGCTGGAGGAGGTCGACAGAGACATTAAAAGGTACCACCTGGGCATCAGACCTAACTGCCAGACTTAAAAAGGGAAGAGAGAAATAAGAAAGCAGCTACGAAAAGATTATCGCAGGTCGAATCTGTCCCCGGCGGTGGTGTATTACTTGATGTGATCAGGACAACCCTTCACTTCCACCTCACGGAGGTTTCTTAGCGATGGGGGTTGAATTAAGGGTCTACGGGTAGCCCTCCAAAACTCCAACAACAACAACAACAACAACAACACAAAACCCAAACCACCTTGCCTGGCACACCGCTGTCCCTGCGCTCTGGTGGGAGGTCGTGAGCGCCTCTGTAGCCAGCCAGCAGAAAGAACGGTCCAATTCAAATAGCGCCCAGCACAGTCTTGGGTTTCGTATGCGCTGTGCTGTGTAGGTCCCTGCGTCTAGCCTGCCCCGTGTCATTGGCCCCTTTTGTCTTTATGCATTTTTACTAGCAAGGCCAGCTGAGGCCTCCTGTTCTCTGTGGGGGCGCTATTATTTTCAGTTCTATTAGAGTTTGAGAGGAATTCCGAGGTCCGGAAAGACAGGCCTCTAGTTTGCTTTGCCTTTTTCTTTTTTTCCCCACTTCCTTTCTTATATATGCTCAGTTCAGCTTTGCGGGTTTTGGTTAATAAGACCTGCTCAGGCAGCTGCAAGGTGTTGGGGAGGATGAACTGGCTTTTTAGGTGATGCTGTTGGTGCAGGAGTAAACCCCAAAGACCGTGGGAGGAGGGAGGCAGGCACCACTGCTTAAGTGTGCTTGCTGAGCAGTTGGGTTGTGGCTTCACCGTGGCTAGTACCGCTGGAGATTAACTGGTCTCTGGGGGAAAGTGGGGAGCCTCCAGCCCCACGCCACTTTCATTGAGAGTCTGGAGAGCAACCACTGAACCGACTTATGTTATAGGTGGGAAATGGAGACCTGTGGAGTTCAGCAACTTGTCCATGTTTAAGCCCAAATCTGTGACAGAGACAGGACTTGGGTATGGGTCTCCCAACTCCCACACTGGCGGGCCACTAAAGGTGAAACTAGGGTTCTGTGGTCGGCTTTAAAAGCAGTGTGGCTTAAGGCAAAACAGAGTTAAACAAAGAAAGTAATTCAGATGGAAAGCTGCACCCTTCCATTATCCCTTTGAAGAGTTCGTTATTCATTTGAGAAAAAGATAGATTTAGTAATTCTTTACTCTTCTTCTAGCCTTTCATAAGCTTAGTTATTTTTCTCTCTTGGCTTTCCCCTCCCCTCAACTTGGAATAGGGCCAAGTGTGGAGACTCAGATGTTTTGCCTCCCATGCCAGCGCCAGAAGGCCTTTGTTTGGGCACAACATGGCCTGTTGACATGGCCCTGCTGGGAAGAAAGTGTCTCTTAGCAGGCTACTCCTAAGCCACTTGTGGGAGGACAAAGCTTTGTTCTCATTGACTTTATTTAATTAATTTTTTAAAAATTAGAGGTCCACGTAAGTAGCTGCTTATTTTTGTATTTGGCAGAGGACAAGTAGGAAAACAAAAAGCAAACAAAACAAAGCCAAACCCAAAAATACTTGGAGGCTGGGTTTCCCCAAAGTTAACATGCTGTTTCCCCCCGTCCTGTTATCTCCTGGCTGCATTGGTTTCTTTTCTGAGGGTTCCCAGTGTGTTGATTTTCATGGTGATTCTGCTGGGCATAAGGAACTTCAGAAATCATCTGGTCAGATGACGATTTCCTATTGTTTTTCAGATGGGAAAACTGAGGCCCGGCAAGGAGAAATTACTTGCCTTAGGACACGCAGCAAGGTGTCTGCTTTTAGTGCCTCTTTTTATGTAAAAGGGAGATGGTTGCATCGCAGGAGTTTTTCTTGGTATGCCACAGTAAAGTCAGAGTTATGATGGTTGTTGTAACAACACCCTCTAAGTCAGATAATGAATTCCTTAAGGATTTCAACAGGTTTTGGTTATTTAAAAACGCCATAGATCCCAATGGTAGATTCGGCGAGGTTATCACTGGGGATCGGTTTTTTTTACTGTTTACCAAATGGTTCCCTTTACTCTTGCCCTGTGCCCCACATACTCCTATTTCCAAGTAGGGAGCTGCTTTGAGTATAATCATAGAACAAGGGGCAACAAAAAGCCAGAAAAGACAAATCCTTCTTTAGCTCTTTGTGCTGTTGAACTTCTTGGGCTCCAGTTTCCTTCTTAGTACAGCAGGAGCCCCTTCTGCCAGCACAGGCTACTCTAGTGGAATGAGGATGCTTAGGCCTTAGAGTTAGAGAAGCAGCAGCTTCAGGCCATCCATCCTCTCCCCTGCGTTCCTTGAGAACCAGCAGGGATATTGTATGATGTGAGGGGAAGAACATGCTTGGGTCTTCTGGGGTTGCTGTGAGTATTAAGTCAGGTGACCTGTGGCACCTGACAGGCTACAGGTAACAGTTTTAGGACTGTTCAGACCACTCGGCAGGCCTGGGTGCTCTTTTTACTGGTAGAGAATTATGGGGGGAAACACCCCCAGAGTGTGAGCCCTGTGCTCAAGGAGGCCCTGCCTAGTCACAAAGGGGTGTGATTATTTGCCAAGCTATAAAGGGGGACTTTGGGTGGCTGTGAAGTGTGTGATTTTAAGGTAAATAAATTTAGTCAAAAAACAAATCAAAAACAAAAACAGAACTTTTGGTCCAAGTGGGTGAGACCTAACGTCATTCCAGTCATTCATTCTATGTTCACTGGCAATCAGGTGGGTTGGTGGGGTGTCCTGTGCTCAGTCTGGGGTCAGAAAGAACACGACCCATTCTCTTCCATTCTCTGTCCATGCCTCCCACCCCCACCACCTCAGAACACATTTGGATCTTCCCTTAGGAATTGCCCTCAGAAAATACACATAATTTATCTCAGTATTGAGCTGGGATGGGGATACCCCTTTTCTTCATGAGTCAAACAAGAGCAGGAGGTAAAATGGAAGAGTGGAAGAGGGAAGGTTTCAAAGAGAGCATAGCTCTCTACAAATGTGTGTATGAGGTGGCATTAAAAAATGACAGGGATGATTCATTAATGAAATTCATAGTAATTTCCTGGAACATTAGAGTTCGAGAATTTGCTCAGACCTGGTGTCAGTGATTTGTTCACTCAGAGCCCAACTGGGAAAAACAAAAACAGAAAGGTTTTTCTTGCTCATCTGTATGTGTGCTGCACATGTTCTGATTCTGATAGATGTACTTCTCATAGGTTTATATGTAACAGTAACAAAGTTTCACATTAAATTCTGGAGTGATTTTTCTAAGCCATTATTAGAAAGGTCGGGTTAGCCTTCAGAATTAATTTGGTGATTTAGATTTTGTCTAGCGTTCTGATTATACGAATAAAGCATGTCCATTGAAGACAATTTGGAAAAGTAGAAAAGAAGTACAGAGAAACAAAAAAATTCCATTGTTTGAAGGCAGTGATGATACACTGTGTGTGCAGTTATCTCTTGTCTCTTGCTTTTCTTGCTTAACCTTCTCATACATACACATCAGATTCTACGTCTGCATCAGAGCTCTGCCTTTTCTTTCATCACATGCATGTCTGCTGCTCAGTATCTCCAAGGCCAGGTAGTCCTACTGGATCTGATCACTTCTGTGAGGCTCTGCAGAGGAAGGGGCCTCCAGCTTCCTCCCTCACTCCCACCCCTGCCTCAAGCATTCCAACACCAGCCATTTTAAAAAATTAAATTTATGGGGGTGACATTGGTTAATAAGGTTGTATACGTTTTAAGTGTGTATTTCCATGGTACCTGATCAGTGTGTTGCATTGTGTGCCCACCACCCAAGGTCAGGTCATCTTCTGTCTGCATGTATTTGACCCCCTTTACTCTGTACTGTCTCTCTACCCCTTTTCTTCTGCTAATCCTCTACTGTCGTCTGTGTCTGTGAGGGTTCTTTGGTTTGTTTCTTTTTCCTGTTTACTCATTTGTTGCTTTCAGTTTTATATCTTGCATATGAGTGAAGTCATATGGTCCTTAACTTTTTCTGTCTGACTTATTTCACTTAGCGTGATATTCTCAAGGTTCATTCATATTGTGGCAAATGGTAGTATTTCATTTTTTCTTATGGCTGAGTAGTATTCTGTTGTGTATATGCACCACATCTTCTTTATCCAATCCTCTATTGAAGGACACTTCTGTTGTTCTCATGTTTTGGTCACCGTGAATAATGCTGCAGTGAATGTAGGGGTGTATGTATCTTTGCGAATAAATGTTTTCAAATTTTTCAGGTAGATACCCAGAAGACAGATTGCTGGGTCATATGGTAACTGTTCCTAATTTTTGGAGAGATTCCGTACTGTTTTCCATAGTGGCTGTACCAGTTCGCATTCTCATCAGCAGTGAATAAGGGTTTCTTTTTCTTTCCAACTTTTCTAACACTTGCTATTACTTCTCTCTCGCTCTCTTTTTGAACATATCCTCATGATTTTATGGGCACATAATAAAACAAAAAATGAGGGTTAGAACAGGATCACCTGGCCCTTTATCTTCGTATCTCCTCCCAGTTCAGAATGCTGGCATCTCTTAATAGCCAGCATTCCCTTAGATCTGCAGTTGGGCTCAACACACTCAAGCCTCAGCACAATTTTCTTTGTAGTTTTAGCCTTTTTTTGGAAAATCGGCTCAGTCTGTCCACCACAGCCACTCTGCTTCCTGTCACAACACTGCTTCCTCTGGGCGTACGGAGGATCCTTGCCCGTCTCGTACTGTGTTACTTTGTGGGGTTGATGCTTGTCACACTTCTTACAGAAAGTGTGGTGGGTTTTGGGTATGTTCACCATGTTTATGAGAATGCTAACAGCACCACTAACAGCACTGGAAAGCTGGTCTTGTTAATGGCCATTCTCACAGGTGCAAGAGGTGGCATCTCATTGTAGTTTTGATTTGCATATCCCTAATAGCTAGGGAAGTTGAGCAACTTTACATACACCTGTTGGCCATTTGGGTGTCTTCTTGGAAGAAGTGTTTCTTCAGGTTCTCTGCCCATTTTTTAATTGGATTGTTTGTTTTTTTGGCAAACAACAGCTATTTTTATATTTGAAGAAGTCTTTAAGATGGAGGAGGAAGGGCCCCACATACGGTCTTGGTCCTAGTCCTGCCCTTGTGACCTCCAACAGCTTATTTTCGCACCCCAGATTTCAGTTTCTATAGGTATTAAGTAAGCAACTCTAAGGTCATTTGTTAATGCATTCCTCATGTATTCAAATGCCCACTCTAAACCAAAGACGTAAAAGAGCTCAGCTTTTAAAAAGCTCACAGTACATTGGAGAGGCATCAGGGTAACAAGGCACTAGTGCAGGATGCTGTGGACCGAGAGGAGGGGCAGCCCCCCCCAACAATGGAGCAGTGGGAAAGGAGGACTTCCTGGGTGGAGGCCGCTACTGAATAGTCAAACGCTTCTTATTTTTCCCTTAATGCAACCAATTCTGAGATCAACATGTTTGTGAATAAATCTCTATTCATATTTCAGATAAATTCCAAGGGATAGAATCCTAAAATTGGAATTACTAAGATACACTTTAAAGGCTATTATCATTTAAAAAGACTTCATAGGTTTAGTCCCAGTTACCTATAAAGTCTTAAAATACTTAAGTATTCTGTGTTGTGGGAACAGTAGAAGTTAAGAGCACAAGCAATTAAGGATTTCATAAATTATCACCAGTGTAGATGTGGAGAAGGTACTTAAGCTCACTTTCTTACCTCACTGGGCCATTGTAAAAATTAAATAAAATCCTAGCAAAAGAGCCCAGTATAGTGCCAGGTATACAGGAAGCAGTCAGTAAGTGATAGCTATTATCGTTATACCTGGGATTTTCATGAACTGCAGAAACTTTTGGCCCTAATATTTCTCTTACCATGTTAACAGGCAGAAAATCAGTTAAAATGGAACCCCATACCAGATGACACATTGAGTGAGAAATGATCACTTATGTGATGCATTATTTAAAAAGTCTTATTGCGGAAAATTTCAAACATATGAAATGGTGTAAGGAACCCCCGTATACAATCATTTCTCTTTGATGGTTATCGAAACTCATGGCTGATACATAACTCCCTACTCCACCCAGATCACTTTGAAGTGCGTGTGTGACATTGGTCCAGCCAGAAATATTTCACTGAGTTGTGTGATGCATATTCAACGTATTGTTGTGCTTGACGGTCTCTGCCGTCGTTGTCATGTGTGCGTGCGTGTGTGAGAGAAAGAGACAGAGAGAGTGCCAACCTGAGAACTTAAGTTTTACTGCTTACGTGAGTTTTCCTGCCAGGTCCTGTGCCCCAAAGAGACTAGGTAAAGGGCGTTTAGAGTCAGGAGACCTGATGGGGTCCACTTTTAAGCAGCTGCAGGCTTTTGGCAAGTGACTTCTGAACTTCTTCGATAAAAAATTTGGTGAGTATTGAATGAGGTAATCCATGAGATAGCCCAGCAGCTCCATGTTAGCTGGGCATAAATCAGACTTGAACCCAGCCTCCTCTCCCTGAGAAACAGTATCCATCCATGTGGAATGGGGGTCACAGACCGAAGGCCCACACAGCAGCACGTATTCAGGTAGCATTGCCACCAGTCTCTCATTCTGAGGATGAGGTCGTGGCTCAGGTGAACACCTAGTGTGCAGAGCACCCCACGCTGCCAAATCTCTCTTATCCCTTCTCGCTCATCCCTTCACCTCTGCTTTATGGCCGAAGGTAGGGAAGTCCGGAGAAGGCAAGGCCCTGTCAACTGTGCCTGTGCTTTTCCCCCCTGGCAAGAGACAGGCTCCCCTTTCCCACTCTGATTTTGAAGAATCTTGACTCCTTCTGACTCACTGTTATACCCGAGTAGGAATTTTTGACTCGACTAACAGAAAAATGTTAGTTGATCTGATTTAGTCATTCAATAAAAGCCGTCTCTTTAAGCCACTGGGACTCCCATTATGTAAGGGCCCGCAGTGGGACTTGCGTTCTCCTGCTGTCACTGGCTGGCTGTGTGGCCTTGGCTCAGATGCCTGCCACCCTGGGCATGCTGCCTCAGGGACTCAGCGCTCAGTTCTCCAGGCCCTTCCAGCTGTGAGTTCGTCAAATGGCAAAGGGTGAAAGATATAGGTCAGGGAGCTGCTTCACACAAATAGTAAATGAAATCTGTTTGTTTTAGAATCTGCAAGTAGGGAAAAAATCACCCCCCCCATCTTTGCCTTCATTTCCCTCAGATACATTTAAAAAACTCAGTCAGTGGGTTACATCATGACTGCCAACTTTACAAATTTGCCTTTTTCATGTTACTATATTTATTAGAGGTATTTCCATTATCAGGGTATACCTATTTTTTTTGCACAGCTGCACCACATTCTATATTACAGATGTGTTTACTTCATCAGTCTTCTGTTGACAGGCATTAATCTATTTCCATAAAAAATATATTTGTAAGTGACCTTGGACATATGGAACAATGGTTGTCAATGCCTGTGCCTAAATGAAGCCAGTCCATCAAATTCCGGAAAGGGTGGAAAGAAAATGGAAACAGGGACACTGGGGACCACACCCTGGAGAGCTGGAATGAAGGGCTCCCAGGAAGTTACTAAGAGGCTGACTCTTTGGATAGGAGGCTATTTTTGGAGACAGCCTGCCTGGTTGGGTGCCCTTGGCTTCCAGGGCAAAAAACTGAGCTATGTCATCCCCTCCTCCTCCTCTCACTTGTCTCTGGCACTTCCAAGTTTGTGTCTGTTCCCAGGGTCATTGGGGACCCAATGGGAGGACTGGAAGTTGAGTGAGGGAGAAGGGAGAAGCCCAGAAGAGGAGTACTTGATCTCAGGCTCTGGAAGAGGGGCTGCCGTGCTCTGTCAGGTGGTTCAGTTCCATCTGGAGTGTTTGTTATGTTTCCCCGGGGCCAATACAGATCGTGATAAAATGAAGCAACCCCCCAGATGGGCTACTTAGAAGCCGAGGGTTTAGACACCGTATTGGAGGTGGAGTAAAAGTGGAATCTGGGACTTTTTAGTGTGTAGAAGATAGAACAACAGGCACCTTCTTCATGTGGAAGAAGAATTAGAGTCACTCTGAGTGGCTGCTGTCAGTGGGAGAACCAATTCAGTGTGGGGGAGCAGTTGCAGAATGGCAGATAAGGAAGAACTTAGCCGAACGAACTGCCCAACCATGGAACAAGCTACGTCACAAGGCAGTGAACTTCCTGTCGTGAGAATACACAAGCAAAAGTTGCAGGTGAAAGTGTTAACCACCAGAGGATTCCTGCTTTGCAGAGAGGTTGGCCTAAAATGCCCCTTCCAACTTTGAGAGTTTATGACTCTGTGACTATAGGGCAAGAAGCAGAAAGATGCAAAATCAGACTGACTGGGTGGGACAAGTTATACACATTGTAACTGGAGCAGTGTTCATAAGGCTGAAGGTCAATTACAATGGAAACCTCTAAAGGAGATTTAAACATTGTTTCCCTCTGGATCCTGGCAGTCCTCCTCCTGTCTCTCCTTGGCTTCAGCTCTGCTTGACTCTATATTCATCAATTATTTCCACAGGAATAAATATATCACATACACTTTAGATGACCAGGAAATCTGGCAACCAGAAAAGAACTACATGTCCCAGGAGATGATTGTAATTTTTGTTTCATTACAGTCTTTCTAAATTTACATCCATCTCTTGGTATTGCTAGCACAGTCCTGAGACGTCATTCAGTGTTAATTTTAAGAGCACGCTCTTTTTGGCAACCTCTGGAAGAGTCTCTGAGCTGGAGTTGACAGCACCCACTATGTTGAGTGCTCGTCTCTTTCTTTCCTGCGGATGAGGAAAAGCCTCTTGGACTTAAGTCCTAGCCAAGTCTTGGTGAGGGAAACATGACAAGGTTAGCATCCTCTGAGCATCCTCTGGCTTTTGCTGTGCACCTGGGCCTAAGGAGGCGCTGTATGTGTTCTCTCATCCAGTCCCCACAGCGACATTTGGTGTCCTCCTATCATGAGCTCCACTTTACAGTTGAAAAAACTAAGCTTTTAGAGAGTGGTAGAGACTCACCCTAAGATTCACTATTGCTAAGCAGTGAAGCTGGTATTGGGTATAACTTTCCTATGTCATTATAGGTTTTCTCACTGCTGACATACGCAGCCTTTCAGGTGTGAGAAGGCTTTGTCCTTGTGTTTCAATGGGGACTTGCCTGACTTTCTCCTTATAGGGACTATGGAAGTTTTCTACCCCTGAGAGCATATGATTGGAAAGAACTCAAGGGACAGTCACACGAATAGCATGACATTTGGATCCAGCTTACATTTGCTCATTTCCTTTTTTGGTCAGAGTTGTTTGCATTGAGTCTGGTTTCCTTTCTTTCTTTCTTTCTTTCTTTCTTTCTTTCTTTCTTTCTTTCTTTCTTTCTTTCTTTCTTTCTTTCTTTCTTTCTTTCTTTCTTTCTTTCTTTCTTTCTTTCTTTCTTTCTTTCTTTCTTTCTTCCTTTCTTTCTTTCTTTCTTTCTTTCTTCCTTCCTTCCTTCCTTCCTTCTTTCCTCTCTCTCTTTCCCTCCCTCCCTCCCTTCCTTTTTTTCTTTTTTCTTTTGCTTGCCCTTTAAAGCTCTGGTATCCACTTGTACTCATTATTTGGTTCTGACTGGAAATAAATACTGGTAGTGAGCATGGCCCCAGATTGGTGGGTACCACTGGTCAGTGACCTCAAATGCTTTTAGCCTGTAAATGGAACTCAGTATCAGCATTGTTAAAGGCTTATCTGCAGCTGTGCTTCTAGGTTCTTAAACAATTTCTTCTTTTGTAAAGTTTATTTAATATTCATTCGTCAAATATTTGTTGAGTTC